CCCGTCTCATGCTGATATTCGGATTCAGCACTATTTTTTACCTATACTCCACTAGATTTCATTAAAAAAACGATTGGTCAGTTACATATGCTCCCTCGTGAGAGAACAGCTTGACAAATGGAGCATAGAGACAAATTTTTATTTTTATCAAATCCTGAAGGAGTAAGCATTTAACATACTATAGTGTACTTTTTGAAATTTTACTGAGCGTGATTTGTTACGAGTATCGGTATTTATTATTTGTTTCTTATTACACTAATATTTAGAACAAAGTTTATGGTTCATAATTCAACTTAAAATTATTATTTTTTCAGCAAAGTGGTTTCTGACAAAATGGAAAAATTATAGGAAAATATACAAGCGTACTAGGAGAGTACAAAAGTAAATGTTCTTGATAATGAAGCAATGTACGAAGAAAGACTCGGACGAATGAAGCAATGTACGAAGAAAGACTCGGACGAATGAAGCTGGCAACTTCGATAGTTAAAAACAGTAATGAAAAATGCCATTTTTAAGAATTTTTCATATGGAAAAAGTGAAGTACCGTTTTTTTCATGTATGAGTAGTCCGGATAGTTCGGAATGTCACTAGTGAATAGTAGTTTATGCCTGAATAATCTGTACAATTAGTAGAAAATAAGATCATAAGAGAACTATAAATAGACTTCGTTTTACTGTATAAAATTGGAAGTTATTTTTCGCAAGATTATCAATACCTTTTGCCCATAGTTATACTTCGTATGTAGGAACTTTTTGGTTAACACCTATATGTCGGTCTGTAGTTATATTTTAGAATAATATTCCTTTTTTTGTTGCATAACCTCAGTTCATATGAGAAAGGCAGAAGTCTTTGCTTGGAACTTTTACTCACTGAAGAGTAATGCTTTATCTACTCTTGGATAATAAGTACAATGATAGTAAAACATAAAGTCTGTTTGATGTGTCCCTGAAGTGTAATCTAATACATTTATTCTGTCTTGTTTGGATAATGATTAAAAGAAAAGATTTATTATGAAAGACCATTTTCATCATTAAATGATGAAAAGTTAGAACCGTCAGATCTCTCTCTGAAAAAGAGAAAAACTGTTTCTTTTGTCAAACAATACTTTATTATGAGCTTTTACTCAGCGAAAGATCAATATTACACAATTATGTCATTTAATAACTAATTTGAAAATAATCGACTAACACGCCTTTAGGAAAAAGTTACATGAATATTTTTCTTAAGAACATGGAAATGATTGAGATAGAAAGAGGCTTATACTTACTACACTAAAAGATGACGTCGAACGATCCACTGGTAAATACACTAAATTTTCTATCTGAATGTTTTGCCCGTTATGCTTTAATTATTTTATTTATACTTGGATTTATCGGTCTCACTCTCAATACTCTTGTATTTACACGCAAAGCATTTCGTCAAAATTCTTGCACACGCTATTTTTTGGCATCCACAATAGCCAATTATCTTGTTGTCTATTTTATCATACCAAGTCGTATTTTATCTGATGGTTTTAGTGTTGATCCAGGAACACATTCTTTAGGCTATTGTAAATTTCGATTTTATATCTATTTTACATTTAAATCTCTCTCATCATGGTTCATTGTTCTCGCGTCTATCGATCGCTTTATGTCCAGCTCTCGTAATTTTAAATGTCGACAATTTAGTCGTTTATCCGTAGCCCGAAATAATATTGTAATTACAACAATTATTTGCTTGTTATTTTATTCTCACGTATTCATTTTTTACGATAATCGAAATGGTATTTGTAATTCATTAAAAGGTGTCTATCGAATATTCGATGATGCGTGTTATCTTATCGGTTACAGCATCGTTCCACCAATATTAATGAGTGTGTTCGGCGTTTGGACACTCTATAATATACGTAGTCTAAGGCTAGTTTCACCTAAAACAACAGGATCTAGAGTTGTTGTGATAGTGAACAGAAATCAACAGTTAGCATTTATGTTATTGTTTCAGGTAATATTTACATCACTGACTACTATGCCGCATGCAACTCAAAAACTATATAACACATTGACATCCGATTTTGTCAAAAGTGATCTTATTCGCGCACAAGACAATTTCTACACAGAAGTAGCTCGTGTAATATCGTTTGTTAATCATACATGTTCATTTTATATTCTAACCCTATCAGGTAAAACGTTTCGTACAGAATTGATGAAAATATTTGAAGAAATTCAACATTATTTTACATTACATCGAAATACAGCAGTTTTATGTATTCCATTAACAAGTGTCAAAGTAAATAGAACAACAAATCATCATCAAGTGTCATAGACAGTTCATCGAGAACCGAAGATAAAGCGTGCGTCTTTTTGAATTCGTATTACTCGCGGCAGTCATTCATTTCATGTTGAAAATGTTTTAGTTTCATATTCACTTAAGGTTCAATCTTTTTGCTGATAAATACTTTTAATTATAGGATGTGTGAATTATTTGTTGATTCACGTCCTCTTTCTGCATGGAGATTTATCGTTTAAAATAAATCATGTCTTACGTTGCAAATTTATTGTTGAAAAGGAGTGTTTTTACAATACACTTGTTATGTTCTTCAAATATGACCTGATAAAGCCTAAAATGAATGCGTGGTTGTATTTTGTAATGATTACACCTGTTATAGCTTTCGGTTACTCTTGTTATTACAGATATTATAAAAATTCAGCATCTTAAACAAATAATCAGTTCTTCACGCTCTCCCACCGAGAAGGAAAAAGCAGCTCCCGGTATCACCGGGAACCCAGTGGAGCCGAATGGAGCTGGACAGAGCTGTACATGAAAAACGGTTAACGGTCAACCAGCATGGTTAAAGTAGAGGTTGAAAGTAGGCAAAATTAACGATTATCATATTGTAAAGCACACTTTTCTGCATATGGCACCGTCTTTCATTCTATCTGTCGACGCTTATTAAACGAAGAAACATGGACGGAACAAAACCGTTGATCACTAATAATTTTGGACCGCTGATCGTGCCACAAGAAAAGCGTGTCTAATGAAACAAAGAAACTGGTGATCGTCAAGTATTTTATATCATGTTGAAGCCCGGAAGCTGAGCTTTCTTTTTACCTATTGAAAAGTTTCGCGGATAGTTTCTAATAAGAGATAAGTTCTTCCGAAAAACTAAGAAAAATCTATCTCTGTGCGTTACCGAAAATCGAGTTTAGTTGGTTTTTTGACTAAACTAAAGTTGTATATTTTAAAACTTTCAGTGATCTTCCACCAACTTTTGATGGGCTATCTATCGATTTCTTATACGAGTGCTTTATAGCCGAGAAACTTGGTAACGCACAGAGGCGACTCTTGGATGCTTCATATAAACACATTCATAGATCTACTAAAAGTTGTTTGTTTCAACTAAACAAACAACAAATAAACTAAAATTTAACGTCCGAGATGCTCCTGCATGGCTTTTGTGCTGGCTACTTAGTTTGAGTAAAACGTAGAAAATAAAAGCACAAAGGTTTTGGTTGGATTTCTAGAAAACTTCATCAGGAATTATGCTTTTTATTCTAGATTACTCCGGTATAGCAAATTTATCTTGTTTCTAGCGATTTGAAGAACATCTTCGTGACATGACGCTCACCGCGGCTCAAAAACAGAAACATTATCGAGAGAATACGAAGAAAAAAGGCCTTCATCATGCCATGAAGGCCAAAAATCGTGCAAGAATGAAAAATGCTCGTAATAAATTTTCCGATCTCCAGCGGGAACAGTATCGTAGGCGCGATGCAGCAGCTCATAAAAGTGCTTACGCTGATAAAAAATTCCAGTCAAAGTACGTAGTCTTTACGCGTCTCGCTCATGAGGGTTAATCCTTGTATTTCGTTAGTGCATCATTCAATTCGAAGCAAAGTCTTGGGAAATCTATCAAAAAGTATTTCTACTTTAATCGATTATGTGGGATTTTTCGACTATAATCGATTTCATCAATGGTTTTCAGAGGAAATCGATTTTCATCCATTATTTCTGTTTAATTAATTATAATCGATTTGGCCATTCTAATCGAATAAAAAAACGGGTGTCATTATAATCGATTTTTAATCGCAATTTAGTCGATTATAATCCGATTATTTGAGCTAAAT